TTTAAAGTAACTAGATCTCTTCAAGTCGAACTTCCACGCTATACCTCTATAATTCAAAGTTGTAGCTATATGTGTAACCGTAAGTAATAGAGTGGTATTTTATTTTATAGTTACATTTATCATATGTATGCAATAAATAATTTACTGTTAAATATTGATTTTTTCCTCTAAAAGTCAATATAATCGGAAAATTATAAATTCTCGTACAAAGCCCCCGTAATCGAATTTTCATATGTTAATCCTCTTTTACTCGAATCTCTCCAATCAGCAGACAATGTTTTTTAAACATTTATTTAATATTATAATATTAAATAAATATTCAAAAAATATTTAAAAAACATTGTCTGCTGCTTGGGTCGATAAGTCGAAAACTCTATAACTCGAATAATTTTTCTGGTCCCTTGAGATTCGAGTTATCGAGGTTCGAATGTACTTGCAGATTTATAAATGTATATATAATATTTTAATATTCAAAAAATGATATTCTTCTTAATTATGTTTTATTAACAATTTCTTTTTTCTAATAGTAATTATTATATACTAATGCAAATATTACTGTGACATAATTTACAGGTGTCTGTAGAATATGGTTTAGAATTTCCATGCGAGGGGACATCGCTCTACGGACACTGGAACCCATTAGGTATCAATACGAGCGATGTACCAGCAGCAGAAGAAGGTACGCTGGATCAATATGAAATGGGTGATTTGAGCGGAAAATTTGGCACTTTAGATAATAAAAAGAGATATATAATGACATACAATGACACAATGCTACCTCTGTTTGGCCCAAGAAGTATACTAGGACGTAGTATAGTAATTCACAAGCAAGAAAAGAATTTAAGGTAATTGGTAAAAATTTTTTTTATAGTAAAACCTATACAATTTTTCTTCTATGCGGAAGAATTGTCGAGATTTCCAATTCCTTTATAATAATTGAGATTTTATAATTTTGTGTATAAAAGTGTTAAAGTAATAACAGAATGAATACATGATATTCAATATTTTATGTCAGTCAGAATAAAATAGAGAATATTTCGTGAAATATTTATTTTTTATTATTTTACTTTAATGTATATGTTTATATATGAATTAAGAATTATTGAGATAAAAGAATGAAATAAAATTACTAAAATAAAAAAAAATAATATTTTTTTAGATAAATATCATTTTTAAAATATTATTAAATAGAACGATAACAAACACAAACAAAATTGTAATAGATTTTTTTATTTTATCATGTTTAATAGGGGAAAAAATTTTTCTTTTTCAATTTTTAAAAATTACATCAAGATCACGTTCTTTGTATTTTTTAAATAAAACTAGCATTACAGGCGCGCGCTATTTCATATTTTTTACTTTTTATTATTTGTAATTATTACATTATCAACCTCTGTACGTAACAACTGTCAAAATATACAATGATAACCGAAAACGATTCACGAAATAAACGCAGCAAGAGAACCAATCATCGTGGAAAAGCGACAATAATACGCTTCAAGATATATGCAAATATCAAAATAAAGACATGACAACTCGCTGTCATGCTTTTTTTAAAAAAAGAAACGCTACAATTTTTTGGAATTATTTTATTTAAAATCATTTTGAAGCAATATAAAGTACAGAAAAGGAAAGATTGTTGAAATAGAAAAAAATTCTCTTTATTTTATAGTATTAATTCATGCAATATTCCGTGATTAATATGTAGTCTGGCAGAAACTTAAAATTATAGTCTTACTCACGTGCACGGCACTTGCGAAAAGAACAACACTATAGTGTGTTGCCAAAACACTGATTTTATTTACTCATTAATTATAAAGAATAATCTTTGTCAAACATTTCACAAATGTTCACTGTGATAACTCCGGCGAGAATCTCCTTCTTGTTTTATTCGATTTATTAGTAATCGGTGTATATTAGAAATCGATCTTCTTTTTAAAACTATTATTTTTCTTTGGTCAACTGATCATATAAGTACAGGAAAGCATAAACTAAACTAAAGAAATTCCACGAACACAATATTGCCCCTCCTTTTCTTCAGATTATTCTGGCACTCAAATCGCATAGGCTTCCGCAAGATTTTTCTCAGCTTTCCCGTCATCTTCAGAAATCTCATATGTTTCCTTCTCCACCCTGAGCTCTCTGGTGAAAATTTGTTTGAAAATATTTTATATAATTTTTCAAAATTTCTATATAAATTTCAGAATTTTTTAAAATTCTGTATAATTGAAGACAGTAGGCCAACACACATTTGGTAAAGACGGAGAAATTAAACTTTAAAATTCATTATTTTTAAACTTTATTTTCTTTATTATATAAAATGTAAATTAGCCTTTTATTGCAACAAGTTCTCTTCAATTTTATAATTTTTTAGAAAATTTTTCAGACCTTTTATTAAATTGGAAATACTTTTTAAAGATGCTAAGAAAATTTACATATGTACAAAGTCTTTTGTAGAATTCTTTATATTATATATGTAAATATTCTAAAATTTCTTATTCTTAATTTCAGAAAAAAACTTATAAAATTTGAAGAAAAAGTTTTTTTTTAGAAATCTTTATAAATTTAAAATATGAAAATTTTTTAAAAATATTATGAAATGTTATGTAAATTCTTTTCATCATTTTTTTTATACGTCCTGAGTTTCTACATTATTGGAATCTTGTCTGATCTGTTAAGTCCTCTTCCGTCTTCTCTCTCGAGAATGACATCTTGGACGCTCCTTTTTTAAATGAAGAAATCTTTATCTAAGGGGAAGAAGAGGGAAAGGTATTCCCGTGAATTGAATCTCTTATAAGGATTCCCCAGGTCTCTGTTTCGGCACTTGCCTAAAGTCCCACAGAAAAATCATGAATAAAAAACTAGGCGAAACAGCCTCAGCAAACACAGATTATAACTGTAATGTTGCAGCAACATTGTAACATTCCAACTATATTGCAGCAATATTACAATAATGTTGCTGCAATATTGTAATTATAATCTGTGTTAGCTGGGAGATTCCTCTTATTTTAAAAACTTCGTCTCTCTCTCTCTCTCTCTCTCTCTCTTTCTCTCTTTCTCTCTCTTTCCACTTGATATTACTCTTTGTAAAACAGAAGTGACCTCACACTTTGCAAAAGAGTAACACAGTTTCCGACACTGACTTTATAATCTTTGCCGGATCGAACATTCGCCATGAGAGTTCTAATATATAAGTTGAAAATCTCTGGAGAAATTTTTTTTATTTTGCATGCATAGTTTCTTGGCAGGGATTGATTTACTTTTTAAACTTGATTTTCAATGTATTGTATTACAATTCATCATATACACAACATGGGAGGCACGAACGAAAGGAATTCCACATAACGCAGGAGTTCCAGTTGTCTCACAAATAATAATAATATAATATTTATGAAAACATACACTAACCATTTTGCTACATGCAACATATTTTCTCTAACAATAAGTTGTAATTTTTTATTAAAATTTATATTTAAATATTTAACTTTTTGTTTATTAAAATCAATTTCTCAAGTACTTCATTTCCAATGTATTTGGAATTTTCAATGCTTTTTTATTCTATATACATATTTTAATTTGGTCTTTCTTTGTGGTATTGATATATCATTTCTGCGTTTAGATGGGCGTGTTCCACAATAGAAAAAGGATACTCTCCAGCTGACGCCAGTGAATTACGTGCCATAGCGTCTTTCCATCATCCACAAGGTTTTGTATACGGCTATATAAGAATGGTAATTTATCGGGATTTTAAAATAATAAAAATTTACAAAAAAAATTTTACGTAAAAAGGATGCACGATTATTTTTCGAGACAATGTACAATTGTAGACGCAGCTCGTTTATAAAGACAATAGCCAAAGTGAGACGGTAATCGAAGTCAATTTACGACATCCTGGGAAGCACGATCGCAATATTGTAAGAAAATGAATCTAAAAGACTGCGATGTGTATCTAACTTGTATAAATATTATGTATTAATTGCGCGTTTAATTCTAGACCAGAAATCATAATTGGGCGATATACGTAAATCCCGTGGGTGTAGATGCCTCGGTGAAAGTGAAGGACACTCGATGCGTAGCAGCGGGATACATATGGAATCCCTATTTCACACAATTAGCTGATCCGCTGAACGTAAACATTATTTATATTTTTTGAAATATATTTTTTAACTTAATCGAGATAACTTTTTAATATATTTCCAGCAAACACAGATTATAACTGCAATATTGCAGCAACATTGTAATATTTCTGCAATATAGCTGGAACGTTACAATTGCTACAATATTGCAGTTATAATCTCTGTGCTAAGTTAATTACAATATAAATGCGCTTATCAAAATAATTAATATATTTTATCGTTGTTTAGGATGATCTTTATAGAGAGGAATGTGGTCCAGATTTGCCACTTAGATGTTATGTTGGCGATATATCGTCTCGTCTAGGTCCCATTAATATCGGAGAAAAGCGACAAATATTTACAGATTCCAATTTTCCTCTGGGTGAACCGGTATCCGCAATGGGTAGATCTATTATCATTTTTGATAAGGAGTTTGGCGGAAACAGATTTGCTTGCGCAAATATTGAACCTGATCACGACATCGTTAAATATGCGAATATTAGAAAACCACCGCGATTTGTTGTGTAAGTTATTTATTTACAGAATAATATTAAATATTAACCCTTTCAAGCACAGTGGCATTGTGGAATGCCACCTTTTCCATAATCATTTTTTCAATAATTGGGATAGTTTTCACTCAATTTTCGAACTTTTTTTTATGGTTTGGTATCAGTTATACATTCAAGAATAAGAATCGATGTGCAATAATTCAAAATCATGGATGATTTTGTTTATATAAATAAATAAACGTTGAAAAATAGCAATTTTTCTAAAGAAAATTCATTATCTCCGAAAGTTCTCAAAGTTTTCACGCAAAGATCTCCTCTTAAAGGTTTTTGGGGTCGCTGATTACGAATCCGTGGCCAGATTTCTAAAATTCAAAATGGCGAATCCAATATGGCGGACCCGAATTCGAAAAACAATGCAAATTTTATAAAACTGTATATCTGGGAGTTCTCGGAGTCGCTGATTACGAATCCGTGGCCAGATTTCTAAAATCCAAAATGAACCCGAATTTAAAAAATGATGAAAATTTTATGAAAATGTATATACTGGGGGTTCAGTGATTTTACACTCGATTAGCACTGTTTTTCGGATAGTCGCCATATTAGATCCGCCATTTTGAATTTCGGAAATCTGATTACGGATTCGTAATCAGCGACCCCGAGAAGCCCCAGATATACGTACATTTTCATAAAATTTGCATTGTTTTTCGAATTCAGA